AAACCTATCAAATTGCAAAGAAACAGCAAGGGAGGAAAAAAGTAAACAACAAAATGGCTTTTGTAATTTTTGTTCTATTGACAACTATTTTACATGTAAATGTATTAAGTGTAAAAAATAAAGAAACAAATAGCTGAGTGGACTTCTAAGAGACACATGAAAAAAAAATCCCTTCACGATGGGAGTCCCTTTAGATTCAGTGATGCACAAGTGGTGCCATTGGAGAGCAGGAGCAATAGAGACTAGGGAGAGAGCACTTGAGCCAGGAAGGGCAAGCACAGAGTGACTGGGCTTACAGCTGACAAAAAATAAACTTTAAGAAAACCGTGACAATGAAAAAGTCATAATATAATTATGAATGAACCAAATAAAGAAAAGGATGTAGCTATTATAAATGTGTGTAGTTGTTGCTTAGTCTTCAGAAGGTGGTTCCAGGACATTCAGGAGACATGCACTTCCAGGAGCTCACATGGTGTCTACACATGCTGTTAACACAGCTAATATGTAGACCTCAAAACACCTCTAGACTTGTGTAGTCCCTAAGCAGTTCAAAGCCTATATATGCTGCACTGTTTACAAAATGATGATGATAAACAAACCCTGGGATTATTAAGGTCAGAGACAATTTTATTGTCTGAGCTTAGTTGAATCCATGCACTTTGAAATCCATGGATTAAGAAGGAAAATTTTTTATATGTACTAAACTTTGAAGTACATACATACATGCATACATACATATGCATATATACCTACACAGGCATATATGTGTTTGGAGGAAGGTAGATAGTTGGAAGGATATATGGAGAGATGATAGATAGAAAGATGGATGGATGGATGGATGGATGGATGGATGGATCGATCGATCGATCGATCGATCGATCGATCAATAGATGATAGAAGATAGATAGATAGATAGATAGATGATAGATAGATAGATAGATAGATAGATAGATAGATAGATAGATAGATGAGAGATGACACACATGAACCAGAAAGATCATTATGAATAGGAGACAATGTACTGACAGTATGCAGCTTTATTTATAAATAGATCAACAAGATGTAAATAGTAGACTTAGATAAGGCAGAGTGTCCAGTCTGGTTATAACAGATTACACGTTTTTTGAGGGCATGCTAGCATTCTTCAGGATGTGCTACAACACAAAACAATTCTTAAGGAATATAAGAAAATTAAGCTCCTCAAAATATCTTTTCTAAATACAATGAAATTAGATATCAGTAACAGAAGCCAAATGGGAAAATTCACAAATATGATGTGAAAGTAAACAACTCTTAAATAATCACTGATTGAAAGAAACATTTTGTGACACATGAAATGAACAAATTACCCACACACAGCAAAAGTAGGTACTACAGTTTGGAATTCAAACTGAAATGTAATTCACAATCCAAATGTTGTTAACATTTGGAGGTAGGAGAGAGCTGGGGTTATGCAGGGCCAAAAGAGACTTGTGGCTGTAATAACAGCAACACAGGCTGAGCTGACACAGGATTTCTCTCAGTTTCCATGCAATAGCTGATGGTGTGTTAAGAAACATCAGGGAGGCACACTCAAGCTGCCAGCAGTGCATTGCTTCCCAAACCTTTCTGTTTCACATACTATTGGGTTTAGTCTAGTTTTGTTAAAACAGCAAAACTGGACTCACATAGACTATAGCAGTGTATAGGATAATAACTACTTGTATTAAAAAGAATCTAGCCAAACAACTCAAAATAGCTCAAAACTTATAAAACAGTAACCTAAGTGCTTAAGTAAGCATAGGAAAAAAGAATAAATACTATATAAGAAACACATAAAATTCACACTAAGATGCAGTAGGAAAAACATTAAAAGAGAGTGGGGGTTTTCTAAACCAAGGAAAGTGAACAAATACCAAAACGAAGATGGGGGAGAAATTCCATAAAATAAACTCAGACATAAAACTTCATAGCATAACTGTGGATAATTATAAGCCAACAAACTAAACAACTAGAAAAAGTGGGGATAGTTGTGTAAACATGAATATATTCCTAGAAATGGCTGGTAGCTTGTGGTACAGAGAAGTCACATATAAACAGAAAACCTAAAGAGACAGATAAGAAATAACGATACTGAATCAGGAATCAGGAGTCCCCAGAAGTCCCTGACTAAAAGCATCCTAATGCTGGATGCCTTTACAGATGAATTCTACCAGACATTCAGTAAACAGCTTCCTTCTTAAACTCTCCCACAAAAGAGCAGAGGACATTTTATTTTTAAGGCACTTTAGTTTATATTCAAAATCTAAACAAAGACATCACAAAACAAAAATTACTGTCAAATTTAGAAAAAAATGGTGGCTAAAATCATTTACAAATTAGTGGAAGGCTGAATTTGATACTACATTCAAAGTACCATTCCACACTGACCAAACTGTATTCATCCCACTGTTGGAGTTAATTTTCACTGTCAACCTTTCTAGATTGGAATCACTATGAACACCGACCTCTCGCGGAGTCTGTGAAGACATTTCTGGAAAGGTTTGACTGGAGAGGGGATATCCAAAATGAACTGTGCAGCCCTCCACCATTGGCTGAGTTCTGACTGAATAAAAGAACGAGACTTGAGAAGCCTTCATCCAACTTTGCTTCCTGACTGTGCACGCAATGCGCCCAGCTACTACACGCCCCTACCAATATGCCCTCTCCCACATGATAGAAGGTGTCCTTTGAATGCTGACTTGAAATAAACCCTTAAGTTGCTTCTGCCAGGTATTTTGTCATAGCAATGATGAAAGGAAGTACCAGAAAACTGGTACCACGAGAGGGGTTCACTTGTTTGTAGGCCTTTGGAGCTAATCTCTAGGAGGAATTGAAAAGAATTTGGATCTGTAGGCAAGGACAGCCCCCCATGTTGGAGTAGAGTTTAACTGATAATCTCGGGGAGAGTTCAGAAGCCCAGAATGCCGAGAGAAGTGTGGATAGTGGAAGCCCAGCTTATGAAATTTCAAACAACACATCACCTGCCTGATGGGTTGAGGCCATTTAAGATGCATTCTGGCAAGTAATCTTACTGCATTCTGCCTACAATCTGATACTTGAGTCAACTGAATTAAGAAGTAATATGTATATAACAAAAATAAATAGGAAAAAAGACTATGAACTTGAAATACAGCAAGTGAGGGGGCAAAGGAAGGAAGACATGATGTATGTAGTTGTTTGCTATTTTTACTCGTAGGTTCTTGTGGCTCTTTGCTCTTTGGAGGACCTGCCATCCAACTCCCAAATAAATGTACAGAGGCTGATTATTTCTTATGGGTACCCGGCCTTAGTTTGGCTTATTTCTAGCCATCTTTTCTTAATTTAAATTATCCCTTTTACTTTTCGCCTCTGGGCTTTTATATTTTTCTGCTGTATACACTTTTATTTACTTCTTATTCCACGGTTTGCTGGGTAGCTCTATGGCTGGCCCCTGATGTCCTCCTCTCATTCCTCCATCTCTCATCCCAGATTTCTCCTTCCACTTATTCTCTCTGCCTGCCAGCCCACGTACATTTCTCCTGTCTTGTTACTGCTATTGGATGTTTAGTTCTTTATTAGGCCAATTAGGTGTTTTAGAAAGGCAAAGTAACACAGCTTCACAGAGTTAAATAAATGCAAAATAAAAGCATGCAGCAAATCTTTGCATCATTAAACAAATGTTCCACACCATAAACAAATGTAACACAACTTCATCTAATATTCCACAACAGATATAATTACAGTATAATCTCCAAAGGAAAAAAATAAAAAAAGAAGTAACGGATGTCTTTGGTTGCTACCCAAGATGAAAGACAGAGATGGGATGTGAAAGTCAAAGAGAACCAAGTCCTACCATCTAAAGGCCTAACACTGGCTACATTTAGTAGTATTCTGCCATGCACAGCAGAAAATTAATAGGCAGACTTTAGGTGGACTTAGCCTATGCAAAACTTATCCATTATGTGAAATAATGGATATTTGAATTGATTTTTATATAGTCAAATGTATTTTGACTATATGTGCATGTATGCATGTATATATATGCAGATTTTTATGTGGCTATACCTAATACAAAATAGAAAAAATTTTTCCTTGACCTATGCATTCTGCATTTTTGTTGTTGTTTTACATTGTATGTCTGTTTTGTAATATTTTTAATTTATGGAGTGCATGCTTTGAAGATATTATAAAATAGATGTATATTGTTTTGTGTCAGTTATTTTAATTATTTATGAATTCAATTAAAATTTCTTTTTTAGTCTTCAATAACTTGAAGAGGCTTTATTAACCAATCACTTTTTGTTTAATTGGGTAGAGGGAGAGAGAAGAGGAAGAGAGAGTCATGTTTAATGTCCGATTTCTACTTTATTGCATTTCTTTAAAAAAACCATGTCCCTAGGCTACGAATCCTCTAAAGTCTCGGGATTTCCCCTGTGCATGAGTATTCTGCACACAAACACTTCACGAGCACTTAGAGAGAAAGCGTGCATTTAGAGCAGGCTTCTTGCCCTCTGTCTGAGCTGTCCTCTCTCTAGATGGCCACCTTCCCGAGGGTGCTGTCCTAGTACCTAAGGATGTGCTTGGGATCTTCATCACCAACATCTTTCTTCTCTCTTGTAAGTCTTCACTTTTGACTCCTGAAAAGTTCTTCTTCTTTCTAAGCTGAGTTCTACATATGAAACTTATACTTTATTCAGAATATTTTAATGTAGTATTCTGAAATAATTACATCACTGCCATCGTGAAACAACAGAATTATCTTTTTAAATGCATATAAAGGAACAACTTATCAAATAATAATATGTGAAATACTATAAACAGCATCTATTCCTAAAAACAACAATATTAGCTTTATTCCATTGATAAAATCACAATTACCTATAAGGTGGTTCTTTACTCTTCTATTTTTGTGAGTTGTGTATATTACAGAAAATGTATTCCTTAACTGACGTACATAACTGTCTTGTTTTCATTTCTATTCACAGGAGCTCACTGCTTACCAATCTGCTTTCTGTACTGATCAACAGGGAGTTTCGTAGTGGAAGAGTCTTTCCTACCCATCTTTGATCTCCAAAATACCTGTTAAACGGAAAGAAAATAATTATAATGAAACATTTTTTTAAAAAAAAAAGTATCTGAAAACTCCCCCAATAGTTCATTAAGACCATTAAAAAACAATGAGCAAAATGCTGCTGACTTAATAGATATCTACAAAGAAAAGAAAACTTTCAAATAAATCATCAGATATACAATTACTGGTGATAAAATCTTCACGTGTTTATTCTAGGTTACATTAATTTTATCAAGAACTAGGCTCAATCAATCCAGAACATGAAAGAATAGTATCTACAAATGGAAATTCTTGTTGCAGCTATTCACTGTGTTACATCACTGAGACGGGCAGGTGTAGGGTCCTCTGCCCTACGCCCTGTACCGCAACAACAGGAAGCACTGCCAGGTACTACCATTTGCACTTTTCAAGTGTGTGCTGCGTTATTTAATCCTCAAACCAGTTTTCAAGTTCTATTTTTATTAAATTTAGCTGTTGCACCAAAACCTAAACTCTTCACACCAAATCTACACTCACTTTTTCCTATTTTCACAGTTAGACTACATTTCCTAGCTTTAATTAAAATATTTAATTAAGTTTTTTATTAGAAATCTGAATGTATCATTTTCAAACTAAGTATGAAACCCTCACAAACATGTCCTCTCTTTCCACCTAATGCATTGGAATATAAATGAGCCCTCACACAAATCTGGAAGGCCCCATCATCCATGGGATGGAGGAAATATTTTTAATAGTTTTTCATCCTTGAGAAAAGAATTAAATTCTCCCGTAAGTTACTAGATATTTGAAGACATATTTCCTGAAGTCACAAATGTTTGCTAAGGCAAACATCAATTACTAGAAGTTGTTCCTCACTCCTTTTAGTGTGGTTCTATATGAAAAACATATGGTCAAGCAAGAAGTCAGTTTTGGAATAAAATCACAATGGCCTCTTACTATTACTGCGACATATATATGCACAAATATGTAAACGCAATCTGTGTTTTCTGGTTATTGGCTTGAGTACACACGGTTTCAGGACTGACTACTTTGCACTGCACACCAGTTAGGAGAGCGTCCCTGAAAGAAGCCGACTCTACTGCCCTGAGCATTCACTGGGGATTTGGAGGTAGAGGGTAGAGGAGGAAAGGAAGCAGGGAGGTTATACAATTATATCTTAATTAAAAATAATAAATAAAAAATGTATATGAAGACATGGGAATTCTAAGAACTTGAGGTTTAAGAAGCTGGAAAAGCTAACTTCTACAATTCAGATAGGAAGAAAAAATTAAAAATACCTAAAGAACAAAGTTCAGCTAATATTTCTCATCTGAGAGATGGCAGGGAGAGAGAAGGGGAAGAGAAGAGAGAAGGAATGAGAGATGGGGAGGGAGAACCGGAGATGGAGGATGAGCAATACTCTCGTGCAGAATCTCCTACTTCAGGTCCCCCCAGAGCAGACACTAGTGGATGACACACAAACCCAGAGTTCCAAAGATAGACAATAAGCATATGGAAGTATACATAAGAAAGAAACTGGTAAAATGATAGGCACGTGAAACTCGGTGTCAGTGGTAAGACGCTTAGCACAAGATGAGGAAACTATTTAAGTAAAGGGGTGGGGGATGAAAACAACACCTGGTCCTCATCCCCCGCGTAAGCTGAGGCTGCGCTGCGCCATGGAGAGCAACGGGGCAGTGTGATGCCTGCTGTACACTGGAGGAGGAGACATCCCGGGGTGAGGCTCGGGGGTCACAAGGCGACACCGAGAGAAGTTCCTCTAAAGTGGTCATGGTGCGGCTCAAACAGGCTGTCTATAGTAGAAAAGGCAGGGGTAACGGAAACCTCTCCTAGCCTGGAGCTCTAGACAGAATTGGAAACAGAGCAATCTGTTCTAGTTTCTCGGGTTTGAACTAGATTACTAGAAGGGGAGGTCTTTCAGGCTCTAAATAAACGGATGGGGTTTTTCCTAATGGACTTTACTAAGGGATCTCAAAGACCAAGTACACCCGAAGTCTGCTCAAGCCCAACTACATTCCTTACACATCTGCATGAAGACAGCTAACAATGACCTCATTCAACACGAGGAAAAGGCATTCCCAAAGAGGCAACTTCTACCCACATGTTAGAACAGCATGAGCTCATCTTAAAGCTTAGTTTTATAATAATCTTCAGATTGATTATATAACAAATTTAGCAAAGTAAAATATCCACTGACAACAGAAAATCAAATAAAGTAAATCCATCTCCAATAAACCATGGGGTTATTGCATCTAAGATGACACATACTTAAAGTTTTCTAAATGAAACTAAAATATCACCTAATCCTATACAGTCTTGCTTGTATTAATCAAAACATTAAAAATAGTTCTGTCAAGACAAGTCATAAATAATGTCAATAGATATAATGTATTCATATAGCAGTTCTATTCTGCATAGTGTTTGCATTTATTAATAATAAGTGCAGTCATTATTTTAATCTTAATTGTGTAGAGCTTGAAGATGTATCCATATCAAGAGAGAAGTTAGCTGACGTGCATAAAACACAAGGTAATATTCTTTCTTTAATATAGCTTTTTTTTCTTTATGGAATGTGCTTAAGTTAAACACACAAAACACAGCAAACTGCTGAGTCTGAGTGCCCAATGGCTGTGCATTACACTACCCTTCTCTTCCTGGTCATTTGACAATGGTAACATTTACAAGGCAAGTATTGTATTGATCCATTACTTGTAGTAAAAACAAAACAAAACAAAAAACCCCACTATCTTTTGACTGAAGGAAACTGAACTTTATTCATTTCCAAATGTGCTTTACATAATATAATACCCAAAAGTTAGCAAATCTAATGTCATAAATATCTACAGGCTATAAACAGACATATTGTATATATGAACTTATTTTATATAAAGACCAGAAAAATTTCAATTTCTAAGTTCTAGACAAAAGACAAAAAACTGACTTTCAATCATGGTTCTAATTATTTTATAATAATACTTAATTAGAATTTCAAATTTTTAACTTTTTTCTTGTGTTTGAAAAAAATCTATTCTTTCAGCAAAAAAATAGTGAGTAAAAAATAAAAACAAAAATCATACAAAACATTTGAATATGACAAAACTTTGTTACGTGAAACAAGCAGAAAATGATGAAAAGTATTTTATTTTATTAATAAATGTACTAACTGCATTTTAAAATGATATAAAAGCATGCCCGTTCATCTTTGTATGGCACAAACTGCCAACGCTTCAGTCACCTAGAAATTCGACAATATTCTGACTGTTCTCCCCTCTTCACAGCCGGCAGTAACCATCACCCAGTTCTACTGCTCTGATGACAGGATAGCAAACTCCTAGAAATCCAGGGAGACATTAGCACACACAGTCACGATTTATAATAAGACAGCTATTTGCATGTGAGATCAGCCACAATTTAAAATGTGTTGTGATAGATGTGGGAAGGGAATAACAGATTTATATTAGCATGTACAAACCAAGATTACATTCACAATTTAATTCCTTAGGGATTATGTCTCATCACCTTCTTTTATAAAGAATACTGCATTCCCTGAGGAGATAACCCACTCTGAGACCCAGCTCAACTAAAATATGGATTAATAAGCTACTATTTATTATTTATGTATTTTGTTGTATGGGAATAATTTCAGATTAAGTCATCAGAAAACTTTTTAAAATTCTTGAAACTTGGTAACATATTTAAGAAAGAAAGAATACCGATGTTATTCAAAACATAGACTACACATTAAAATAATTGAAAATAAAAATTTTAGTTAATTAAAACTTTACATTCTAGAACTTTTAAGACTGAAGATGGCATTCCTGTTTAGAAATGCTTACTCAGCCTGTATAAAACAGCAATTTCTGTAATATGTACGTCTAAACAAATTTTGTGTTATTTAATGGAGGTGGAGATAAGGCTCAGTGGTTAAGAGCAATACTGTCTTGCAGAGGATCCCAATTTGGTTTCTAGTCTTCATTTTGTACAGATCACAGCGGTCTGTAACTCCAGCTACAGGGCCACCTAACTCTTCTGACCTTCACAGGGACTAGCATTCACATGCACATACCTATCCTCCCTCTCACCCACACAAAATCAATCTTTGAAAAGGAAAGTATTCATACAATCAAATCACACTGGAACAATAATTATTTGTATAAACCCAAAAAGTCACTTCTAGGAAATGTATCTTAGTTGTGGGACTCTCCAGCTAATTATAAAACTAAATAAATACAATACTGAATAGTAAGAAATGTTTTCTTAAGAGAAGCAAGACAAAACAGAAAACAAGAGCTGTGTGGTCTTTCACATCATACTCAGTTGAAGATAATTATAGACATCAAGGAAATAGCCAAACCAATAAATGTACTAGGCAAAAAGAGAGTCTATTTATGGCCTGTGGAAGCAATGCTGCTTAAAGAGATTACAAATATCATAAACTACAAAAGACAAAAAAAAAGAGCTGAACAGTATGGCCAAGAAAAGGTGAAGGGCACTGGATATAATAACCATCATAGCCTATCCTTTGAGTATATTGATGAGAAAGCTATCATGTACTCGACACACACATCCACAAAGTGAGGTCTGGTAGCAGGCAGCAAAGACAGCCTGGTAGCCCATACTCACTGTGAAATATGTAGCAATATTTTATGCTACTTGTGAGCAGGAATGGGGGAGTCAGACAATGGACAGTCAGATACCTAAATTGCTGCTCTGGAGGATTGTAGACTTTCAAGAAGATAGACTTGGGGAGCAATATCCCAAAATACATGAATTTGGTGACCACGAATCACTGGGCTACATTATGACACATACTACATTTCTTTTGGCAGTCCCAGCTGCTTAGTGCTGACACATAGGAAGTGTGATAGGGTGGAGTTCAGATTTTCCAGTTTGGGACAACAGAAAGAGCAAAGAAAACAGAGGTGTAAGGACTATACAGAGCAGCCAGGGACACTCTGGGGTCTAAAGCTGCAGAAGAAAGCAGAGCTGGCAGAGTGCAGAGTTAATC